GTTCTGCAGAAAAGGACCTAGGGGTTACAATGGACGAGAAGCTGGATATGAGTCAACAGTGTGCCCTTTCTGCCAAGAAAGCTAATGGCATTTTGGGCTGTATAAGTAGGGGCACTGCCAGCAGATTGAGGGACGTGATCATTCCCCTCTATTCGACATTGGTGAGGCCTCATCTGGAGTACTGTGTCCAGTTTTGGGCCCCACACTACAAGAAGGACGTGGAAAAATGGGAAAGCGTCCAGCGGAGGGCAACAAAAATGATTAGGGGACTGGAACACATGACTTATGAGGAGAGGCTGAGGGAACTGGGATTCTTTAGTCTGCAAAAGAGAAGAATGAGGAGGGATTTGATAGCTGCTTTCAACTACCTGAAAGGGGGTTCCAAAGAGGATGGATCTAGACTGTTCTCAGTGGTAGCAGTTGATAGAACAAGGAGTAATGGTCTCAAGTTGCAGTGCGGGAGGCTTAGGTTGGATATTAGGAAAAACTTTTTCACTAGGAGGGTGGTGAAACACTGGAATGCGTTACCTAGGGAGGTGGTGGAATCTCCTTCCTTAGAGGTTTTTAAGGTCAGGCTTGACAAAGCCCTGGCTGGGATGATTCAGTTGGGGATTGGTCCTGCTTTGAGCAGGGGGTTGGACTAGATGACCTCCTGAGGTCCCTTCCAACCCTGATATTCTATGATTCTATGATTCATGGAGCATGACTCAGGACATGCAGGGTTGGCAGCCCCATGCGCCGGCCAAGGGGTCCACCCAGTCCCTCTGATCGTAATCCAGGAGGTCTCTGATTCTGGTGGTGCCAGCCAGGACCATCCTCTGGCATACCAGAGAGGACTCCACCACCTGCACACAGATATGGCGGGATGCTTAGCAGCGGTTCTGTGAGGAGGTCCTCCCCCTCAGTGGCAGCTACAGACCTGGTCCCCAAGACTGACTTGCAGGTCCTGAGGAGGTCCTGGGAAAAGACTGGCAGCTCAGAGAAGCCTCAGGGGAGACCTCTTGAGTGGAGGCAGAGCACAGGGGCTGCAGCTAGCACCTCTCTGAACAAATCAATTCACCCTAGGAAGCTTTAGGGAATCATGCTGAGACCCAGATGCTCTCTGATGTGACTAGAATATTGGTGTCAAGACATCAGCAGGGCAGGAATACCTATTTCCACCCTCACTGCAGGCACTCAGCTTCCACTGATGTCAACGGCAGCTTTGTACGTGGCACAGCTGCAAATCTGTGGCCTACCCTGGAAGAGAATTCTGCCTAGTTTTTAAAACCACTCCCCATGCCCTTTTCTCCTGTCTGCTTAAACCCATCACAGACTTAGGACAGAGAGCTGCTTCTGCAGAGGGACTGTTCACATCAGCCTCTTCACTGCTTTGCCTAGTGCCCATGTCCACAGCGATCTGCAGTCCTCATTGCCATTGTCTATACACCCCACGTTAGTCAGAAAGGCCAAAGCAACTGGGCTCTGTGGGAGTCAAGCTGCGTGGGTCCAGGAAGGGACTGAAGGATTTCAGATACAATTACTGCGCAGGCACTTAGGGCTCCCAGTGGCTCACCCTAACAGAAGGGCTGGCCCTTTCCGCTCCCACAAGGCATATGCACCTCTGCCTGTTTAAGCAAATGATGTGTCACCAGGGAGGGAGACTCCAGAGAAAAAACACCCACATCAAGGAAACTGACTCTCTGGGTAAAACACTCAGTGTGGAGCTCAGAACAAGCCACAGGGGCAAGGGGCTGCAGTGCCCACATGGTCTGCACCTGCTCCAGAGTTAGCCATTCTAAAAGGCCAGGGAGCAGGTGTACTCTTATCTGTACCCCATCACATGAGCAGGATCAACCCTCTATCCTGAAACGCGAAGCTTTCATTTAAAATTCAGCCAGCAGTCATTGTGAGGCAATAGCGTCAGCACTTCTGGATGAGCTACGAGAAGCCAGCTTGACAGCCAGCTCTGAGGAGGAGGAAAAGAAGATCTGGCTAGCAGGACATTTCAGAAGCCCAATCCAGCCCAACATTGCAGGCAGCTAGGAAGGTAATATGAAGCTGAGAAGAGCTTTCCTCCACACAGAAGGGCTGGATTTCCAACCCTGAAGAAAGCTCAGATCTAGGGCATCAGCAAATATGTACAGATGGTTTTTATTATAAGTTCTGCAACTGCACTGGAGCCAAACCCTCCCTTTCCCCTCCAGGCTTCCTCCCTCAGTTCTCCAAACCTAAGCAAAACAAAGCATCAGCCTACCCCAAGAATACACCTTGACTACAGTGCATCCTATAATGCTCTGGATACCTGGCATTGGCAGCTGTTGCGGAAATGGGGAGTGCAATGGGGCAGAGGGCACATAGCAGAGGGCACATAGCAACGAGCTGAACTGTCAGTGCATGTTGTATTCTAGTTATTTGTTTTCCCGCACTAAAAATGTTCTCCACCCGGACATGCAATCTCATTTCAGCTCCTTCCCTCCCCTCTAGCAGGATCCTCCACATCTCCAGTACTCCTAGCAGGACTCCTCCACTTTAATCCCTCCTGGCCGGTGATGCCACCTTCTGACAGCGGCTACCTATGAACATTCCTACTTAACCTGCCAGTGGAGGGACAGAGGGGTCCTCTCTCCACTGCACTTTTATCCTCAATCCCAACAGACCATCTGCAACCAAGAAACCATACAGTTGGGTGGGGATTTAACCCTTCGCCAACTCTCTTTTATCCTCAACTGATATAACAAAAGTCTGTTCCACAGCACAAAGCAATACATTATGACTTCTGCTTTAGGGAATGGCCACACAGTTGAATGCCAGGTGGAAAGCACCTGAGGCTGGGCAGCTACCTAGAAGGCCCAGAAAAGGCTTGAATAGAGACTGGGAGTGGATGTGTCATTACACAAAGTAAAACTATTTCCCCATGTTTATTTCCTGCCCCCACTGCTCCTCGGACATTCCTGTTAACTACAGGAAATGGCCCACCTTGATTATCACTACAAAAGGTTTTCTCTCCCCCCACCCCCGCTGGTAATAGCTCATCTTAAGTGATCACTCTCCTTATAGTGTGTATGATAACACCCATTTTTTCATGTTCTGTGTGTATATAAATCTCTTCACTGTATTTTCCACTGAATGTACCCGATGAAGTGAGCTGTAGCTCACGAAAGCTTATGCTCAAATAAATTGGTTAGTCTCTAAGGTGCCACTAGTACCCCTTTTAGAGTTACCTCGTCCATTACATTGAGCCTTCATTAACAAGAACATGATTAGTTGGCAGCTCTTTTCAGCAGGTTCTTAGCTCCATTTCACATTGTATGCTCCAAGCTGGGGCTGAGACTTATTTAAGCAAATCTTCCCTGAACAGCCTGTGGGAAATTACCAACTGAGCAGCCGTGGAGATGTGGCAGCTGCTCAGGTTACTGCCACCTCTCTAGCTCTAGCAGAAGCTTGAATCAGTTACCATTATTCGAAGCCCTATCTCCCCCAAACTGGACTAACCTGAATACAGGGAAATGTTTACACTGAAGACAATAAAATGTGAAGGTTTCTTGCCTCACTCGCTTTCGAAACTCATGAAACACACAATCAGATTGCACAGGAGGTACAGTCAACTGAGAAGTTAAAGGGAATGTGTGCAAAATCTGACCATGAATAAAACAGTTCATGAAAACAAATTTACAATAGTGTTTGCAATTTTTCTTTTTAAATAGTTTGCCATTGAGTTCAAACCCAACCAGCTGCCTGGGTTCAACAGATCCAGGAAATGAAAGCGACTAGAAATGGTGAAACTGACTCAGCTCATTCTCTTCCCCATTTGGGAAAAGGGAGAAAGAGTAAACTAGCATGACTGGCAAAGAGCAAAATAAGGCCCCAGTCATGTGGAGACTCATGAACCTTCAGCCCACTGATTTCAACAGGAATATTCTTGCACTTAAAGTTAAGCATGTGCACAAGGACTACATTATTAAAATGGCAAGGATCTAAGCCATGTATTAGGAACAAAGTTAATATTTTTTAAAAAGGAAGGTTCAACAGCTTCCCTTGAATTCTTAAATGGGAATGATGAGAAGGCTCCCACTTCTGAAGTGAGCTCCAGTGCTGATGGAATGTTCTGGTTCGATACTCAGAAGGTCCCTTTCCTTGGGTGGTTGTATTTTTCTTTTTTTCTTTTTTTTTTTTTTTGCAGGTGGTGGGGAGAGAAGAATAGTAAGAGGTGAACTAAAAGGATTGCCACCTGCTGACCTCAGGATTTCATTCCCCCTAAGAGACCTTGTCTGTAGAAGGATCCCCCTCAGAACTTCTTGTGGTTACCATCGCTGAAGTTTCACTAGCAATAGCAATGGTTGGAGTGCTACTGTGCACAAGGCATGAGTGTTTTTAACAGTGTGTGAGTAGATCTGCTCTCAGTAGAACCAGATGACATTAGGCCCTAAAATGCAGCTGTCCCTCACCAGGGCCTCCATTGCTGCTGTCACTAGTAGGGCTGCAACAGGGAAAAAATCCTAGCGCAGACAATAGTTGATGGCTCCCCAATGTCAGATTCAGGGGGTAAACACAGAGCCCTGAATTCAGATTGAGAAAGTCAAGTAAAGGAGGGGCAGATTTTCAAACATTCCCTTTTTAAAAAATAGTCCTTGTGATAGTGGTCCCCAACTTTTCTGTGGGAATAGCACATTCCTATTCCCAGAAGACTGTGGCGGGCACCAGACACCCCGTCGCTGAAATGCTGCCGAGAAACAGCAACGCTTCTTGGCGGCATTTCAGCAGGCGGTTCTCCGGTGGCGGCGTGGTGTCTTGTGGGCGCACACAACTGCCCCGGCGGGCGCCATTGCTCCCGCGGACACCGCGTTGGGGACCCCTGCCTTATAACATTTAAACCTAGACATAGTCATTTGAAACCAAGCAGTTTTGTTGTCTTATTAAAACTCATCTTAGTTCTCCTTTAGTAGGTATCGAGCACTGGGTATGCTACATGAACTCATGATCTCTAACCACACAATATATTTCAAGGGAACATACAATACCTTCTCCTCTCAGCATCCTGCGGGTCTGTTCCAGGCAGGCTGATAGTGATGGATGAAGGAGCACCCACATCATAACGCTTCACTGTTTTCCGACAAACTTTTACCTTCACCAAGATGCCATGCACCAAGTTGGCCACCAAACCAATCACGGGCTGCAGGATCTCGGGGAAGAACGTGGCAAAGGCAAAGTGGTCCGACATGTCTCCACGTCCCCTACTGTGCCGCTGGTAGAAACGAAGATAGATCCAGCTGGAGAGGACCCCAAAGCCATAAGAAGCCAACAGGTTGCTTTCAATTAGGGTGGTCAGCCTCAGAACAGCCAGGATAAGGAGTAAGAGCATAGGGACCACTTTCATCCGCACCTGGGGCACCTTCAGGACAGTGCTGTCGCCCATGGTCTGCTTGAGGGCCACTAAGACTCCACCAAGGAAGCCCAGCATGCCGTGGATGCGAACAGTAAACAGGTACAAGAGATTGAAGGAACCCACGTAGGTGAGAAAGTAGGCAAAGGCTCCCAGAAGCCCCACTGAGATATTCACAACTGCAAAGAAGATCAGGAGCTCCAGTGCTCCCCACAGGGGCTCCAGCAGCCTACCAGCCAGCACTACTGTGGCCAGGCTCACACCAACATCCCAGACATGCTTCTCCACCACACTGTGTGTGGCCAACGTCCAGATCCAAAAGTTGGGTGGAAAGAGGTAACCAGGAGTCACGCCGAGCCCGAACACAGTGTCCACAGCAAAGGATAGAAGGTAGAGCAGGATGACAGTGGCACAGATGGACTTCACTACCACACTGGTGCTGGCCAGCACAGCTAGAAAATGCTGCCGGGCTACTGGGAGGTACCGGTTCATGTTGAATCTCTTCCCACACACACCTTCGCTGAACCAGTCAGGGGCCTTGATCTGATACTTTTTGGGGAGTCATGCATCCAGAAGCTCCCTCTCCAACTCTTCCTCAATATGGATAGAGTGGACCTCAGTCCTGACACTGGCCACCACAGGCCCCGGGAGAGGGGGGACGACAGAGCCTCTCCGCCCTGCTGATCAGCCTCCCCGGAATGGCACAGCAGGGGACCGTTACCCTGCCTACCAGAGAAGCCAAGAGGGACGAGCCCAGATTCTCTTGGCCCTGCCACCCAAAATGCTCAGATACCCCAGAGCCCACTGGAGTCCCTCCACCCCACCCCCCTGCACGCCGTTACCCCACCGCCGCTCGTCCGCCCCACCCCGTGCCCCCTGCCCGTCCTGCCCCGCTCGTCCGTGCCCCTTGCCCCCCGTTACACCACCCCCCCGCTCGTCCGCCCCACCCTGTGCCCCCTGCCCCCGGTTACGCCACCCCCTGCTCGTCCGCCCCACCCCGTGCCCCCTGCCCCCGGTTACACCACCCCCCGCTCGTCCCTTACGCCAGCGGGCGGGGCAGAGCCCGGCTCCCCTTGGCCGTGTGCGCACGGGCGGGGTGGCCGGGTCCCTGGGCCTGCCCCTCACGCCCCCCTTCACCTCAGGGGGCTGGCCGGCCTGCCCCGGGCCCGACCCCGCAGGCCTCACTCAGCCTCGCCGCCCCCCGACCCCGCCTCCCGCCCGGCTGCGGCCCCGCTCGACACCCCACGCCGCTGAGCGCTCCCCCGGGCCAGGCCGCGGCCGCTCGGCGCCTCAGTCACTCACTCCCCCGCCGAGAGGCGACACGGACAAACACGGCACTGCGCCTGCACGCCGCCCTCGGGGCCCGCCCGGTGCACGCCGGGAATTCGAGTCTCGAGGCTGGGCACTGCCACGGGACGCAAGGGGGAGAAGAACGACACGTCCCAGCATGCACCGGGCTGGCCGGAACCAGGGGCGCCGTTGGCGAAAAGGGTGCTGGGGGGTGTAGTTTTGGGTGGAGGTGGAGTTCTCCAGGGCAGGGGGAAGCTGGCCCGTGCGCTCGCTCGGAGCGTGTCTCCACGAGCAGCCCGCAGGGGCTTGCGGGGGGAGCACAGCGCGGAATGTGGCTGCCCCAGGGCAGCACGAGCCACCCCGGCCAGCGGCTCCCTGTGCGCCCAGGCTCGGGACAGGGACTCAAAGCAGAATCCCAGCCCTGACCTAGGGAGCTGGGGGCCGGTAGGGGCCCAGGGGTGGGGAAATGGGACCTGCCTCGCCCCCTCCTGCAGCCGCACCGCTGGGCAGCCTCTGCAGCAGGGAACGGGTCTAGTGATGTAGGTAAACTAGGGACACCAGATAGCAAGTGTGAAAAATCAGGACACCTTTTCGGGGATGGGGAGTAGTAGTTGCGTATATAAAAGAAAGCCCCAAATATCGGGTTGTCTGGTCACCCTAAGGTAAACCCAGGCAGTGAGGTGTGATGGAACTGCAAACCTGGGCACCCCATGCTCCCCGGGCAGCGGGACACCCGCCTCCTGGGAGAGGGGACAGACTGGGAACAGGGGGAAGGCCGTGCTGGGGGTTCATCATGACAGGTCCTGATCCTCAGCTTGTCCATCCTCCCTTTGCCGGGGGTTCCTTCACGCAGCTAGGCTGCAGGGGTTACACAATCCAGGGCTAAACCCTGATGTTTTTTGTAAGACCAACAGAGGACACAAGGGAGAATTCCCAGCTTTCCAGGGGTGGGAGCAACCACTTGCTGGTCAGCGTACACCAGGCTCTGAGGATCTCAGCAAGAAAGTCTCCTAGGAACCCCTCATGGCAGGGTGACCCAGTGGGTGCCCTGTATTCGTTTATGGACAGGGCCCTCTCAGCATGGGAGCAATGTAACTGAGGCTCTCAGGCTTGTTATAAAGCATTTGGAGTCCATCTTGACACCACCCATAACAAAGGGCACCCCAGCATTTCACCAAGCACAATAAAGGGGTCCCAAACTTCTCACCGGTCACAGCCGAGGTCACCCTAGTGTCCCACCAATCACAGCATAGGGTACCCAAACATCCTACCAATTACAGTCAAGGACAGCTCAATGCTCTAAGCTCTTCCTCCACCTTGAGACTGTGGTTTCCTCAGATGCACGTGATTTTCTCCTGTATGCATGTTCTCAAGCACTTCGAACGAAGACACCAACATTTCCCAGCATTGATACTGTTCTTATGCTTTATTTCCATAGCACCATGGGCTGCATGACCCCATATAGCTAAGTACAAAAGGTCCCTGCCTCTGTGGGCTTACAGTCTGAATTAGACACCACAGTGCAAACAAAGGTTTCAGAGTAGCAGCCGTGTTAGTCTGTATTCACAAAAAGAAAAGGAGTACTTGTGGCACCTTAGAGACTAACCAATTTATTTGAGCATAAGCTTTCGTGAGCTACAGCATGCATCCGATGAAGTGAGCTGTAGCTCACGAAAGCTTATGCTTAAATAAATTGGTTAGTCTCTAAGGTGCCACAAGTACTCCTTTTCTTAGTGCAAACAAAGATAGGTTAAGGGATATGTGATGGAGAAGACAGGGGCTAGGACAGTAACTAGACTGACACAGCCTCTGACCCCTTTGCTATCCCCGCTGTTTAAATGTGAGAGGCAGAAATGTCTGTCAAACCAACACAAACAAGTCTGCAGTATTGTCAGCCCCAAACATTCCAAAACCATGAGTCAGGCCCCCCAAAGTCATGAAATTGGCTTAGCAGTCATGAGATTTTCACACTAATCAGTGCTGGGTTCTTTTTATTTGCCTCCTGGATTTTGGGGCTTTTATGTGCCATATTTTCCAGCTTTTCTCTGCCATCACAAGGGCTAGCAATTTACTATTTTTTAAAATGAAAGCTGAGAGTCTCAAGTAACCACTTGACTCCTGGCACTGGTGCTAAAAGAAAAAAAAAAACCCCCGCTACTGGGAGACCCATGTCAAATCACAAGAGCTGGCAACAGCAAGTCAGCAAGGACAGGGAGGAGTGAGAGCGCACTAGAAAATGATGGTGTTGGAATCAAGGATTAGAAAACATGCCTTCTCGTGATAGATTCAAGGAGCTCAATCTACTTGGCTTAACAAAGAAAAGGTTAAGGGGTGACTTGATCACAGTCGAAATGCCGATATGGGGAACAGATATTTAATAATGGGCTCTTCCATCTAGCAGAGAAAGGTCTAACACAATCCAATGGTGGGAAGTTGCAGGTAGATATATTCAGACTGCAAATAAGGTGTAATTTTAAAATTAACCATCAGAACAACTTGCCAAGGGTTGGGGTGGATTTTCTGTCACTCACACTTTTTATATCAAGATTGGAGGTTCCTGTAAGAATTATTATGGGGCAGTTCTCTGGCCTGTGTTACACAGGAGATCAGATTAAATGATCACAATGATCCCTGGTGGTCTAGGATTCTAGGACTCAAAGGGTTACAACCAATGCACCAAAGCAAAGGGAATACAGAAGCAATTTCCCGACAGCCTCACGGGCATTTTACTTCCAAGGGCTGTTGCTCACCCAGTGTCTGATTCATCAGGACATCATGATGACTGTCCTTTATGGGCTTCTAATGGGTTTCCATGCTGGGGTGCCCTTGGAAATGTTGGGTAGGAAAACGATTAAGCTGCGTGTGAAGCCTCCAATGCGCCCACAGCTCCAAGAGAAATGCTCTCGCTTTGCTCATGTGCCCTTAGCTTGATTTCCTGTTCCAGACATTAAGGAGAAGACTGCGCTCATCCAGCTGAGTCATTCTACCAGCTGACATCACGGGGTCACAGCGAGAAATGGGGCTGTTAAAATGGCCCCTTCCTTACTGCCCAGACCTGCTCCAATAAAATCCTCACATCCCACAAACCGTTACCGCTGCTGGATGTGCCCCAGATTTTACAAATGTTTTCAACTTTTCAATGGGACCATTTTTTGTAGCCCTCTGCCTGTGACAACCTCTTCCTTGGTTGCCATTGGCCCAATTCTCTTCTCTCAGCACATCGCTCAGGACTAACTCCAATGGAGCTACACTGGCATAAAACCCAGGTGAGAAGAGGTGCATAGACAATCCAGGAAGTTGCATAGACAATCCAGGAAGTTTTTGGAAAGCGTAGGGGACAATTTCCTGGCGCAAGTGCTCGAGGAGCCAACTAGGGGGGGCGCTTTTCTTGACCTGCTGCTCACAAACCGGGTAGAATTAGTGGGGGAAGCAAAAGTGGATGGGAATCTGGGGGGCAGTGACCATGAGTTGGTTGAGTTCAGGATCCTGACACAGGGAAGAAAGGTAAGCAGCACGATACGGACCCTGGACTTCAGGAAAGCAGACTTCGACTCCCTCAGGGAACGGATGGCCAGGATCCCCTGGGGGACTAACTTGAAGGGGAAAGGAGTCCAGGAGAGCTGGCTGTATTTCAAGGAATCCCTGTTGAGGTTACAGGGACAAACCATCCCGATGAGTCGAAAGAATAGTAAATATGGCAGGCGACCAGCTTGGCTTAATGGTGAAATCTTAGCGGATCTTAAACATAAAAAAGAAGCTTACAAGAAGTGGAAGGTTGGACATATGACCAGGGAAGAGTATAAAAATATTGCTAGGGCATGTAGGAATGTTATCAGGAGGGCCAAATCGCACCTGGAGCTGCAGCTAGCCAGAGATGTCAAGAGTAACAAGAAGGGTTTCTTCAGGTATGTTGGCAACAAGAAGAAAGCCAAGGAATGTGTGGGCCCCTTACTGAATGAGGGAGGCAAACTAGTGACAGAGGATGTGGAAAAAGCTAATGTACTCAATGCTTTTTTTGCCTCTGTTTTCACTAACAAGGTCAGCTCCCAGACTGCTACGCTGGGCATCACAAAATGGGGAAGAGATGGCCAGCCCTCTGTGGAGATAGAGGTGGTTAGGGACTTTTTAGAAAAGCTGGACGTGCACAAGTCCATGGGGCCGGACGAGTTGCACCCGAGAGTGCTGAAGGAACTGGCGGCTGTGATTGCAGAGCCATTGGCCATTATCTTTGAAAACTCGTGGCGAACCGGGGAAGTCCCAGATGACTGGAAAAAGGCTAATGTAGTGCCAATCTTTAAAAAAGGGAAGAAGGAGGATCCTGGGAACTACAGGCCAGTCAGCCTCACTTCAGTCCCTGGAAAAATCATGGAGCAGGTCCTCAAAGAATCAATCCTGAAGCACTTACATGAGAGGAAAGTGATCAGGAACAGCCAGCATGGATTCACCAAGGGAAGGTCATGCCTGACTAATCTAATTGCCTTCTATGATGAGATTACTGGTTCTGTGGATGAAGGGAAAGCAGTGGATGTATTGTTTC